GATATGGGTGTCATGCCATAACATATTTTTCTTATGACTGAGTTTATATTTAATGTGAATTTAACAATGAAAGTTAATGTGAATAAAAACATTGCAAGTTAGGCTACTAATCATAACACCTGCACTGTACAGAAAGAGAGCAAAGAACATTTACATTATCAAAGGACATTTTCACTGACAGTCTAGTTCAAGCACTCTCAAAAACTCCCATTAAAATCACTGAAGCTGTTTACACTATGAAATTAATATCTTACAGATTCGTACACACATTTGCACTTTGTTGTTTCTGACGAGAGAATTTGCCAGAAAGAGAGAATTAGCCAGAAAGAGGTATTCAGATAGCGAGCGAGTGAAGAAAACACCGCATTTTAGCGATGACTCATCTGAACGCCTCTGATTGGTCATTGCATTCATAAGCTCAACAGCATCGTGTATGATTGGTTATAATGCGCAGTGCTGTAAAAACACGTCTGTCTCTGACTCAGCGTCAGCCAGCGCAGAATTTAGCAGCTGATGATATGACGCGCTGAACGTTCTAATCACGCCGGTGTGATTGTATTAAATATAGAAAATATTAATTGGCTATTTTTTGTCTTTTGGAAACTGCATTCAAAATCCACTTGGCTCAAAAATCAATCACTTTGAATGGGCATGACGCCTCTATGTGACCCTGGACCACAAAACCAGTCTTAAGTCGCTGGGGTATATTTGTAGCAATAGCCAAAAATACATTGTATGGGTTCTGATCCAAACCCTAGAGAGCTGCCTACCTAGAAAAGATTTTTGGCATCTGATGTGGAGGCTGTTCCAAACAGCTACATTTTTTACAAAATTCTAAAGCAATGCATACATCGCAGCATGCACTGCAACAAATTCAATGAAAGTAAAATAAAAACACTTATATTGTTGTCTATATTTAAAATGAAAATGTAAAAAAAACCGTTCAAAATCTTCAAACAAATAAAATTTTCACCTATATGTGTGCAATTTGTGCATTACAGAATACAGAATTATTTTAGTTTTATTAATATACTATTATTGTATATATTAATATTTTACTTTAATTTTAATTTTTTTTATAATCGTTCTATTGAATATTTAAATTTACCTTTAATTTATATCTACTTCTGTTTTAGTAATTTTAGTACTTAAACTTATTCTATTTAAGTTTTTTCCAGAGCAACATTTCTGATTTTTGTTTAAGCTTTTTAAGTTTTTCATTTAATACTTACAATTTATTTTATATAATCTTTATTTCAATGAATGAAAATAGTTGTAAGTTTCCGTTTTAAAGCCCTTTACACCAAGAAAGAGATTTTTTTGTTTTAAATGCTCAAGTTGTTTAAAGTCAGGATTGGCCGTCAATGTTCTTACGTACGGAGCCCCGCACATGGCATGCATCGTTCCTGGATGTACTTCTGCATTGACAATATCACAAAGTCACATGACGTCCAACAAAAGACTGATGTAGCTTGTGGCTTTTGAGTTACTTCAAATTTAGAGTGGCTAAACACCCCCAAGGTCCAAGTCCATTGGGTTAAACACCATGGTAAGCACAGGTGGTTTACAATATATAGAACTCCTACAATACCTACACACCTAGGCATTTAAATCTTGGTATTGTGTTAAATGAACCACAAAATAAAGACGCATCTTATGAAGAAAAGTCCCCCCCCCACGCAAAAAAAAAAATCAAATAAAGAAAAACAATCAATTGAGAAAAAATTTTTTTTTACAATTAACAATTAACAATTATTTTTCCAAACCCACGTGACCTTTCTTCCATGGGGCACAAAAATAGACATTCTGAAGAATGTTCTGATGTTTTACCATAAAATTACAATAAAAAAGGACCGGCACTGACTAAAACCACACAAAGGCACAATAAAAGGATCTTAAAATAATATAAAAATGTTCCACTAGACTCAAGCACTACATCTCAAGTAGACATTTATGACAAGATAAAAGCAAACTGACAAATGAAGGAGAGGGGTTTAAATGAGTAGAATCTAGTAGATAATAATACGGCAATACAAAAATCTTAATGGACTTAATTGTTTTCATTTTCTGTGTAAATTATCATTTCTAATTTCTTTTGTTTAATTTTGGAGCAACATAAGACCTAGTTTTTTTTTTCTGCAGTAAATATAAATGACTCTCAAATCTTGCCTGAATTGTATTCACCTGCCAAATAAAACATAAGGGAAGAGATTTCATTTTGAATTTGACAAAAGTGTCAAAAGCAGGAAGCTACAGACACTGATGGGGATGAGGGCTCAAGCTTTTAAGATGGGAAAGGCAGTGGGGAATGTCAACGTTGGCAGATTGAGATTCACAGCCTGAGCGCGGCCTGATCTCTCATCTAGCACATACCACATCCACCTTGACGGACTTTAGACAGGGCCTGAAGGACTGCGAGAACCAGTAGTAGTCCAGAGCCAGCAGAAGCTGAAGCTCAGAAAACAGACACTCCACATGCTGAGAGTGTGTGTGTGTTTGTTTGTTTGTGTTTGTGTGTGTGTGTGTGTGTGTGTGTGGAGGAATACAGAAGAGAGACGAACAAGTGTGAAAAAAGAGGGGTGAAGAAAAGAGATCCGGGAAGAGAAAGTTAACGAACAAAAACAAAAGAAACACATTAATCATGCTATGAAAGAAACTATACAATAATGACAATAGACAATAAAACAACAGAGTGTACAAAAGGAAAATAAAGAACAGGAGAAAAACATTCAGAAACTAACTAGCAAAACATGCGAAACTAACAAACATGTACACTACCAGTCAAAAATTGGGAAACAGATAGTCATTCTTTACTATTATTATTATAAAATATAGATAACATTAAGAGTATTGATAATGGTAATAATATTACTGTGAAATAACCTATATAGAATTGTTGTGACCAAAATATTGTACTGTATAATATTGTACACCAAAAAATATAGTACTAAAGGACTTACTTACATATATATATATATTTTATTTTTTTCACCATTTACTGACGCATTATTAAAATCAAAAGTTGTATCTGTTAATATTATTTAACGGACCGGAGCTAACATTAACTAACAATCAACAGCTAACGTTAACGAAGATTAATAAATACAGTAACAAATGTCTACAGTAAAAAACTACATTGAAATGAATTGCATATAGAATATATTTAAATAGAAAATTATTGTAATAATACTGTGCAATATTACTCTGAGTCTTTTTACTTTTCTTCAAGTAAATACAGGCTTGGTGAGCATAAGAGACTTCTTTTAAAAAATGGGGGGGGAATCTTTTGGCCAGCAATATAAATATAAACCATAAATCAATTCTATAAATAAAATTAAAATTCATATGTAGCCACAATTTATATTTCATTTTGCATTCTGTCCGTACCTCTCTCTGGTCATTGTCCAAATAGAGATGTTCAGCGTGTTGTTTCTGTCTGTCCTTCCTCCGCCATTGTGCTGGTGCACTGCGCTTCGCCCATCTAACACACCACAACAACACCGTTAGATTAAAAGACAAATCACAAACAACTGGCCACCAGAGTGTGCATATGGATTATGAAAAACCGGTCTCAATGCTTGATTTACCCAAGCAAGCTTAAAATGATCTACAGCTGGAGTAATATAGCTAAACCAATCATTTTAAGCCTTCTGAAAATATCTGATATAAATCTCCATATTTCTGCTCTGAAATAGCTGTTGATGAACCCTTTTGAGTTGCTACCATAATTTCAACAAATCAGTCACCGTTGCGGATTCAAAATATTTAAGCAATAATAAAAATCTTGTTCTAAAATCTAGAAGCACTGACTCACAGGATTGAATCCACCCAGCCTTATGATCAAATATATTTGGAAATTAATTATCTTTAATAAATTAAAGATATTTAATAATATAAAATATATATCCATATTTTAGGAAAGTCATTTCAGGACTAACAAATGATGTTGATCCGGGAACATGTCCAATTTAATCACGTCATGCCAGCATCAACAGCCCTGAGAGCCTTTGTGCACCAGTTAATTAATTGATGTCTCAACACATCTAGGAAAAGCCAGGCTATTTATTCTTACTTGTTGCTGGTGGGTCCAGTGGAGAGAACATCGGACTGTAAGCGGGGGAAAAAGCCCGGCTCATAGCGGCCCTGACCGATCTTCATGTCCAGCAGGTGGGGATGCAGAGCCGTGTGGTCGATCTTACACAGCCTCATCTCAATGGCCTTTTCTAAAGTGGCAAGAGAGGAACACGTCACACACATATTACTGATGAATCACAAAAACCCCGTATAAAGTCATCAAAGAAATGATGTCCTCGTCACAGAGACACAAAACCCACATGGTGGGAGGAGTGTGAGTTAGTGATGTGGTAGAATGAAAGAGACAGTTAAGCCACTGATGTGAACCCACACACCACGCTCAAAATACATCTTACACAACACAAAATCTATCAGCAATTAGAGATGCTACAGTGAGAGCTGTGAACATTTAAAAAAAAAAAAAGAATTTAGTCAACATTTAACAATATTTATAAAAAATAAAATAATAAATAATTTAAAATTAAATGTTAAATTAAATTGAATTACTAAATAAAAAATTCTATTAAAATAAATTTTAGTAGCTAAAGCAAACTACAGATTTATGCTACAGAAGTTATGCACCAAAATATCATACTTGAGGCCAGTTTTACTAACAGTTAGCGCCAGCGCAAACAGTCTTTTGGCGTTAAAATAGTACTGTCTGTTTTTACTAAAGACGCGCAGTGACGAATTATTAAAAATTTGCGCCTGACCTTATTGAATATGCATTTGTAGGAGTTCCCTTTCAGACGCCAAAATTTATGGGAGGAGAGTATTCAAATGAATCACGCAACGAGATTTACTAACGTTTGTGCTCATCAAATTACTGGCATTTGCGCCATTATTTAACGCCCAAAAAAACATGTCTGAAACTATTTTGCACTTGAAATGGCTGCAATTATTGTTGCTAGGAGAGGCACCGCAGAGAACAGAGAGCGCATGGTAGAAGGGAGAGGATTTTTTCGACATGTTTTAATTTATTTTGAATGCCAGAAGAACACATTATCCGAACATATCGTTTGCCAAGCTATGTTATTTTTAATTTGCTTCAGGAAATAAAAGATGATTTGGAACCCTCAACTAGGAGTTACGCAATACCAAATCTATCAAAACTTCTAGCAAACGTACTGTGGCTTCTTTATTCTTTATTTGCGACTACGCTAATTTGCGCTGCACTTGGTATATTGCGTTGGTCGATATGGAAATGAGATGTTGCGCCTGTGTTCTTTAATTTGCGCATTGTTAGTAAATCACACGCAGAAATTTCCACGTCCATCGGCGCTGTTTTGGAATTGCTGTCTCGCGCTAATTTGCCCTGTTTAGTAAAACTGGCCCTTAGATTCAGGGTCTTACATCTTAGCAAACACCACCAATGAAAAAATAATTCTTCAAAATAAATGAAATGCAATAAGCTAACTTTCCAATGAGTTCTATGATGATAAATGAGAGCCTTTAAAATGGTTTCCCTGCACAGACATCTTTTAATCAATCATTATTCACGTTAAAAATAAATAGCATTTTCATTTGGCTCTCTATGCTTGAACTGTCCCATTTCATCAGCAGAGCTAATGGAAGACATCTAAATGTAACACGCGATTTAAGAATCCTATCCATAATGCATTGCAGGAAGAGGAATTTAGCATGACCGTTGCATGGAGTGTGCTGTCTGTGTATTACTAAGCTAAAACGTATAGATTTTCTTATTAATGAGGCGCCATGAGGAAAACAGTTCAACTTTCCAGTAACACGTATTAGATCAAAAGGGTGCTTCTACTAAATACTGAGCAAAGGGTCTGAATACTTAGGACCATGTGATATTTCAGTTTTTCTTTTTTAATAAATCTGCAAAAATGTCAACAATGCTGTGTTTTTCTGTCAATATGGGGTGCTGTGTGTACATTAATGAGGAAAAAAAATGAACTTAAATGATTTTAGCAAATGGCTGCAATATAACAAAGAGTGAAAAATTTAAGGGGGTCTGAATACTTTCCGTACCCACTGTATATATATTTTATTTTTTTCACCATTTACTGACACATTATTAAAATCAAAAGTTGTATCTGTTAATATTATTTAACGGACCGGAGCTAACATTAACTAACAATCAACAGCTAACGTTAACGAAGATTAATAAATACAGTAACAAATGTCTACAGTAAAAAACTACATTGAAATGAATTGCATATAGAATATATTTAAATAGAAAATTATTGTAATAATACTGTGCAATATTACTCTGAGTCTTTTTACTTTTCTTCAAGTAAATACAGGCTTGGTGAGCATAAGAGACTTCTTTTAAAAAATGGGGGGGGAATCTTTTGGCCAGCAATATAAATATAAACCATAAATCAATTCTATAAATAAAATTAAAATTCATATGTAGCCACAATTTATATTTCATTTTGCATTCTGTCCGTACCTCTCTCTGGTCATTGTCCAAATAGAGATGTTCAGCGTGTTGTTTCTGTCTGTCCTTCCTCCGCCATTGTGCTGGTGCACTGCGCTTCGCCCATCTAACACACCACAACAACACCGTTAGATTAAAAGACAAATCACAAACAACTGGCCACCAGAGTGTGCATATGGATTATGAAAAACCGGTCTCAATGCTTGATTTACCCAAGCAAGCTTAAAATGATCTACAGCTGGAGTAATATAGCTAAACCAATCATTTTAAGCCTTCTGAAAATATCTGATATAAATCTCCATATTTCTGCTCTGAAATAGCTGTTGATGAACCCTTTTGAGTTGCTACCATAATTTCAACAAATCAGTCACCGTTGCGGATTCAAAATATTTAAGCAATAATAAAAATCTTGTTCTAAAATCTAGAAGCACTGACTCACAGGATTGAATCCACCCAGCCTTATGATCAAATATATTTGGAAATTAATTATCTTTAATAAATTAAAGATATTTAATAATATAAAATATATATCCATATTTTAGGAAAGTCATTTCAGGACTAACAAATGATGTTGATCCGGGAACATGTCCAATTTAATCACGTCATGCCAGCATCAACAGCCCTGAGAGCCTTTGTGCACCAGTTAATTAATTGATGTCTCAACACATCTAGGAAAAGCCAGGCTATTTATTCTTACTTGTTGCTGGTGGGTCCAGTGGAGAGAACATCGGACTGTAAGCGGGGGAAAAAGCCCGGCTCATAGCGGCCCTGACCGATCTTCATGTCCAGCAGGTGGGGATGCAGAGCCGTGTGGTCGATCTTACACAGCCTCATCTCAATGGCCTTTTCTAAAGTGGCAAGAGAGGAACACGTCACACACATATTACTGATGAATCACAAAAACCCCGTATAAAGTCATCAAAGAAATGATGTCCTCGTCACAGAGACACAAAACCCACATGGTGGGAGGAGTGTGAGTTAGTGATGTGGTAGAATGAAAGAGACAGTTAAGCCACTGATGTGAACCCACACACCACGCTCAAAATACATCTTACACAACACAAAATCTATCAGCAATTAGAGATGCTACAGTGAGAGCTGTGAACATTTAAAAAAAAAAAAAGAATTTAGTCAACATTTAACAATATTTATAAAAAATAAAATAATAAATAATTTAAAATTAAATGTTAAATTAAATTGAATTACTAAATAAAAAATTCTATTAAAATAAATTTTAGTAGCTAAAGCAAACTACAGATTTATGCTACAGAAGTTATGCACCAAAATATCATACTTGAGGCCAGTTTTACTAACAGTTAGCGCCAGCGCAAACAGTCTTTTGGCGTTAAAATAGTACTGTCTGTTTTTACTAAAGACGCGCAGTGACGAATTATTAAAAATTTGCGCCTGACCTTATTGAATATGCATTTGTAGGAGTTCCCTTTCAGACGCCAAAATTTATGGGAGGAGAGTATTCAAATGAATCACGCAACGAGATTTACTAACGTTTGTGCTCATCAAATTACTGGCATTTGCGCCATTATTTAACGCCCAAAAAAACATGTCTGAAACTATTTTGCACTTGAAATGGCTGCAATTATTGTTGCTAGGAGAGGCACCGCAGAGAACAGAGAGCGCATGGTAGAAGGGAGAGGATTTTTTCGACATGTTTTAATTTATTTTGAATGCCAGAAGAACACATTATCCGAACATATCGTTTGCCAAGCTATGTTATTTTTAATTTGCTTCAGGAAATAAAAGATGATTTGGAACCCTCAACTAGGAGTTACGCAATACCAAATCTATCAAAACTTCTAGCAAACGTACTGTGGCTTCTTTATTCTTTATTTGCGACTACGCTAATTTGCGCTGCACTTGGTATATTGCGTTGGTCGATATGGAAATGAGATGTTGCGCCTGTGTTCTTTAATTTGCGCATTGTTAGTAAATCACACGCAGAAATTTCCACGTCCATCGGCGCTGTTTTGGAATTGCTGTCTCGCGCTAATTTGCCCTGTTTAGTAAAACTGGCCCTTAGATTCAGGGTCTTACATCTTAGCAAACACCACCAATGAAAAAATAATTCTTCAAAATAAATGAAATGCAATAAGCTAACTTTCCAATGAGTTCTATGATGATAAATGAGAGCCTTTAAAATGGTTTCCCTGCACAGACATCTTTTAATCAATCATTATTCACGTTAAAAATAAATAGCATTTTCATTTGGCTCTCTATGCTTGAACTGTCCCATTTCATCAGCAGAGCTAATGGAAGACATCTAAATGTAACACGCGATTTAAGAATCCTATCCATAATGCATTGCAGGAAGAGGAATTTAGCATGACCGTTGCATGGAGTGTGCTGTCTGTGTATTACTAAGCTAAAACGTATAGATTTTCTTATTAATGAGGCGCCATGAGGAAAACAGTTCAACTTTCCAGTAACACTTTCAAAGCAAGACGTCTGAAAATAAAGGTCACAACCGCAATCAATAAGTTCTTCTTGCATTCAAATTTGTGCGTATCACATTTGATGTACATGAAACATCTGAACTATGACATTTGAAAATTACACAAAGAGACAAATAAATGCACAAAGCGTCCATATTTATCAGCAGCCAAGTGCAAAATGCAATTAAAAATTGGCTTGGTAAACAGAGTTGAGGTATTGGCTGCTCTAAATATGCAATGGTAAAAAGCTTGGTTTTTAATTAGTGTATTATTTTACTTAAAGCTGACAGATCTAAGAAGATATTTTGAAGAATGTAGGTAACCAAACAATTGCTGGTAGCAGGCACCGCAGAGAACAGAGAGCGCATGGTAGAAGGGAGAGGATTTTTTCGACATGTTTTAATTTATTTTGAATGCCAGAAGAACACATTATCCGAACATATCGTTTGCCAAGCTATGTTATTTTTAATTTGCTTCAGGAAATAAAAGATGATTTGGAACCCTCAACTAGGAGTTACGCAATACCAAATCTATCAAAACTTCTAGCAAACGTACTGTGGCTTCTTTATTCTTTATTTGCGACTACGCTAATTTGCGCTGCACTTGGTATATTGCGTTGGTCGATATGGAAATGAGATGTTGCGCCTGTGTTCTTTAATTTGCGCATTGTTAGTAAATCACACGCAGAAATTTCCACGTCCATCGGCGCTGTTTTGGAATTGCTGTCTCGCGCTAATTTGCCCTGTTTAGTAAAACTGGCCCTTAGATTCAGGGTCTTACATCTTAGCAAACACCACCAATGAAAAAATAATTCTTCAAAATAAATGAAATGCAATAAGCTAACTTTCCAATGAGTTCTATGATGATAAATGAGAGCCTTTAAAATGGTTTCCCTGCACAGACATCTTTTAATCAATCATTATTCACGTTAAAAATAAATAGCATTTTCATTTGGCTCTCTATGCTTGAACTGTCCCATTTCATCAGCAGAGCTAATGGAAGACATCTAAATGTAACACGCGATTTAAGAATCCTATCCATAATGCATTGCAGGAAGAGGAATTTAGCATGACCGTTGCATGGAGTGTGCTGTCTGTGTATTACTAAGCTAAAACGTATAGATTTTCTTATTAATGAGGCGCCATGAGGAAAACAGTTCAACTTTCCAGTAACACTTTCAAAGCAAGACGTCTGAAAATAAAGGTCACAACCGCAATCAATAAGTTCTTCTTGCATTCAAATTTGTGCGTATCACATTTGATGTACATGAAACATCTGAACTATGACATTTGAAAATTACACAAAGAGACAAATAAATGCACAAAGCGTCCATATTTATCAGCAGCCAAGTGCAAAATGCAATTAAAAATTGGCTTGGTAAACAGAGTTGAGGTATTGGCTGCTCTAAATATGCAATGGTAAAAAGCTTGGTTTTTAATTAGTGTATTATTTTACTTAAAGCTGACAGATCTAAGAAGATATTTTGAAGAATGTAGGTAACCAAACAATTGCTGGTAGCCATTGACTTCCATAGTACTTTTTCCCCCTACTATGGAACATGTCAACTAGGGTTGGGCCGATAGACGATGCCATCATCCATCGCCAATGGCTGATAGACATCCCGATGTTGAGCCGGCATCGTGACCCCCCCCCCACATCCCAATACCGTGTATTTTGGGTAATTGGGTAATTATACTACATATATATTTCGGCATCAGGGAGCCGCTATTATACCTGGCATTGAAACTGGCATCGTGCTTTTGAATGCACGATCGCTTTTAGTTTCACTTTCACTTTCGAGATTCGTGATCGCACATATTCTGTTTATACTATGGAGCGGCAGTACTTGGCACACATTTTACAAGATTATATGTTTCTCAGTGGTACTGAGAATCTGCAAATCATTCGCCATCATCCTCAGTCATCTCTCCTTACTCTGTTTATGTGGTAAGTAATTTTATGTACTGTAACGTAACAGGCAACCGTTACACCGTGTTTCCACCGGACGCGACAGTTGTCGTGTCGCGACGCGCCGCATCAGCTAAAGTCTGTCTACACTGGACGTGACAAAGCGACCTTTGAAAATCATTTGAAATTTGTGTCAGCATGCCATAAATAAAACGCGGCAGCAGTTTACTGTCGAGGACTTGTGGTGTTGCGCCGCACCGCATCCAGTGTAGACAGCATCACTGATTATAATGAGTTCTATAGACTGATCTATATATAACAAATCTCTATTATAGATCAGTGGTTCTATAGTATTTTGTCACGCCACGCCACTCGCGTCCGGTGTAGACACGGTGTTAGAAATCGTGTTTTCCCTTATAAGGATTCACGCTTCGGGCACACCCCCTAACTCTTCCCCCCCACTCAGCCCCGCCAATGTCATCATCCATCGCGATGTTTCACTTTAGACATCGTCCGATGCCAATTTTGTAGACATCGCCCAACCCTAATGTCAACTTGTTTTTGTTATCAACATTCTTCAAAATATCTTCTTCTTTTGTATTCAACAGAAGACAGAAATTCATGTAAGTTTGGAACAACTTGAGGGTGAGTAAATGATCAATGACCAGTAAAATATATTTATGGCTCTAAATGGGTATGGCAAAAAAAGGTATTTTTATGCCATAAGTGTAAGTATTCCAAATAGCTCAATTTCTAAAACAGATTAGTCACCAGGTTTATGCCGTCTCACCTGCTTCATCAATATTGGTGCATTTCTGGTACATGGAGGTCCGCAGCGTGGGTGTCCTGACATTTAGCATGCGGATCTTGTCAACACGGGAATCAAATACTCTCAGTATGTGCTCTTTGTCCTCGTCATCGTGGCACAGGATCTTACTGTCGATGAAAGAGGCAAACATCTGCGTCTCCAGGAAATGGGAGAGGAACGGCAGGTAAGGCTCCGGCTGATCCGACAGGAAGGAGGCCTGCAGTGGGCAGAATTCAGAAATGGCAAACACCATGAAGCTGCTGTGGGCTACAAAGTGTATCAGCATCCCAAAACGTCTTAGTTACGCTAAACACTTTTTTTTTTAAGTATTTTTTTTTCTGTGTACATTTTAATCATCGAAAAGAATGGCTAATCAATTTAATTCTTAAAACTTCTTGGTCAGAGCTGGTTGTAACATAGTAGGTCTTCAAGCTGGTCAGAACTGGTTGACCAATATGAACCAACATTACTTTTTTTCTAGCAGAGAAGTTTATAAATGGATCGCGAAACATCACCTTGTCAAAGTTCTGCATCTGGTCTCGGTTGCTAAACCAGGACTCTTTGTCTTGGCTGGGCTGAATGACGAACACCTCATAGTCAGAGAACATCTGCGTGAAGCGGTTGGCGAAGACCTCTCGCACTCGAATGTTCAACTGATGCATCTTCATCTCCTCTTCATCACACTGCACTTTTGAATCCTTATTAGTGCTCGTATCCTCCTTCACATCCAACTGTCAAACACAGGTGAAGGACAAAAAAGTGTCACATTGTATTAAAAAGTGATGGTGGGGTCAGTGGCACAAGAACCAGAGGGACTGCTTGTTGTGATGGCGTGACAAGGCAAAAGTGTAGCTCAATAATATTAATCAAGCTAAACTCAAATATTTTAACGTGATATTTAACTGTTTTGATAAATCAAACCAGAAATCAAGTCTGTAGTAGAGTATTTATTCATTTGAGGCAGAACTGAAATGTAACAAATTTATTCTGATTAAAAATACTAAATAGTGGAATTACGTCCCCACAGCAAACGACACCTCTCTGTAATTCTGTTAACGCAGAGCACAATAAAATAAAGTGGCAAACAATGAATCTCCCCCATGTTAATCTGACTTTTCAAAAAAAAAAATGTAATGATTTTAGTTAGTCCAGTGTTTGCTTAGTATTTTTGTTAATAATTTGAATTTGATTTTTCATATTTTCATTTAAATGTAAATGTTTTAGTACTTTTCCTGTGTTTTTGTCAATTTATTAGTTTTTATTTTTAAATATGTCTATATATTATTTGTTTATTTATTTATTTTTTGTATGTCTATATAGTATTTATTAGTTTTATCTTATTTAGTTTCAGTTATTTTAGTACTTCAACTTTAAATGAAAATGAGAAATGTTGCTTTGGCAACAAGCTGAAATGTTTAATTTTTTTTATATATATATGAAATATTTATATATATACAGTGGGTACGGAAAGTATTCAGACCCCCTTAAATTTTTCACTCTTTGTTATATTGCAGCCATTTGCTAAAATCATTTAAGTTCATTTTTTTTCCTCATTAATGTATACACAGCACCCCATATTGACAGAAAAACACAGAATTGTTGACATTTTTGCAGATTTATTAAAAAAGAAAAACTGAAATACCACATGGTCCTAAGTATTCAGACCCTTTGCTGTGACACTCATATATTTAACTCAGGTGCTGTCCATTTCTTCTGATCATCCTTGAGATACATGTTGGGTTTTTTTTTTTTCAACTAACACATTTTCTTTATGGATTTAAGATTTAGTTAACATTAATAACCCAGCCTCTGTCACATGGCAAGTATTGGTCCAAACTGTTATATTGTTCATTCATGCCACATTTAGGGCCAGTTGTACTAAACAGGACAGGGCCAATTAGCGCGAGAGCCGAAATTTCTCCGGGTGATTTACTAACAATACGCAAATTAAGAACACAGACGCAACATCGCATTTACATATCGACCAACGCAATTTAGTCACCAATAAACAATAAAGAAATAAATAAGCCACAGTACGTTGAAAAGAACCGGAGGCCAAAAAATGAAGGTTTGCTAGAAGTTTTGCTAGATCTGGTATTGCGAGACTCCTAGTTGAGGGTTGAAGTCATCTTTTATTTCCTGAAGCAAATTAAAAATAACATGGCTTGGAAAACGATATGTTCGGATAATGTGTTCTTCTGGCATTCTCTCCCTTCTACCATGCGCTCTCCTAGCAACACATTGCATCCATTTCTAGTGCAAAATAGTTTAAGACATGCTTTTTTGGGCATTAAATAAATGTCACAAATGCCAGTAATTTGATGAGCACAAACGTTAGTAAATCTCGTTGCGTGATTCATTTGAATACTCTCCTCCCATAAATTTGGCGTCTGAAAGGGAAACTCCTAGAAATGCATATTCAATAAGGTCAGGCACAAATGTATCTGTGTCCACGCCTTTTCAGCGCTAATTCGTCACTGCACGTCTTTAGTAAAACCTTACCGTACTATTTTAACGCCAAAAGACTGTTTGCGCTGGCGCTAACTGTTAGTAAAACTGGCCCTTAGATTTCAGTGCTGGTAGATGATGCATTTCATCCTTGAAACTTTGTTTTGGAATGTCATCTTAATATAATCTCAGCATAAAAAAATTTACAAAAGATCACAATCCCCACTCTACATTTTACAAATGGAAGTTTACACCAAGTTACACTCTAGACATTTTCCAGGAAAAATGCTGAAGTTACAATGTAACTGAAGTAGCAACAGATCTTTTCTTGAGTGAAACGGATTATAAAAAAAATGAGTAATAGGACAGTACTTGGAATTGTCCATCAATTGCTGATTGGATGGAGGCAGATCTGAATACAAACATAATTGTAAGAAAGGGGCGGGACTTAAGCAGACTAAATGATTGGAGAAGCCCGGTATACATCACCAGAGAGACGTCTTTCAGAGTTATGATATTTTTAGATAAAAAAGAGCTTTTTGTTGTTGTTGTTTTCTAATAGAATGAAACATGCATGAATGAATTGTTCACAATAAGATCAAAATCAAGCAATTAAAAAAAAAATAGGGTGATTTTCCATTTCATGTCAACTTTAAGAGTAAAGGTAGGAGTTAAAAGAGAGGAGGAACAAGAGAGTGGGAAAATGTGGCAGCAAATATCAGCGCACAGCTTTCGGAGCTGATCTGAGTTATCTATTCTCCATGGTAACACTCTGAATGGAGAGCAGGGAGTGCTGGGAACGGAAGTCTACAAATCTGCCTTGATTTACGAAGCAAATGAGGCTCGTTCCCAAGAGAATATAACCATACAGAGCAAGCGGCAATACACAAGAGAGCAAGAAAAGCAAACAAGTGCTGACAGCTCATTCAAAATAAGGGAATCACTGAATATCAAGTCAGTATGATGGAATTTAACCAGTACAGCTTTAAGGCTGTGGCAAATTCTCTCTAGGAGCTATATTAAGAGTAAGGGGTCAATCCCTGGTCTTTAGACAGAGTGTGTCCTTAAGCTGCTTAATGTCATCAAGAGGGACCTCAAGCTTTCTGAGAATCAGAACAGAGCGCGCTCAGTCTTAACAGCCATTTGTTCATCTTTTCATTGCCCACACAATAATTAAAATTATTGCCCACACTGAAAAGATCTGTTTTCCACAAAGCAGCCGTCATCACTGCTCAAGTCATTGTTCAGTTCAAAAAGGAAAATTACTGAATTCACAGCAAATCCCAAGAGAAACCAGATAAACTAAATGTATTTGTCTGAGAGAATTTACACCATAATATAAACTTTCTTTTAAAACTATATATAAATAAATAAATAAATATATATATATATAT